TACTGAATGTTGATTAGCTAAATCTTGAATGGCTGATATGTTGGTCGTTTTTGATGAAATTTAGATTATTTGTATGTAAACTGAGTGTACATGCAATATGAAATTATTCATAAGGTATTAAACATGATTAAAACATGTGTATGCAATGCAACATATGATGAATTCATATTGACTTGTATGGATATAGCTTAACATGTATGTGCATTGTTTTTTTAAGGTCCTGTTCTGCAGATGCCATGAGATGATCTGTCTGTCCATCTGATATCACTTGTCCTGAGTATATTTTTTCTCCTCTTAGCCCAATCTCACTCAAATTTAACTCATAGAGTGCCTGTGGATGGAGGGTAAAAAGTGACCTTGGACCAATTATCAAGGTCAAAGGTCAGTATCAAAACACACTATATATCTTTATTTAAAGTCCTTGTCCAGAGCATAATTTTTCTCCCTTGGTATGATCTTGCTTGTGTGCCATGGGATGAAGGGTTTTTTAAGTGATCTTTAACAAAATTTCTAGGTCAAATGTCAATAAGAAAAAAAAAGATTCGTAATATCCTTGTCCAGAGCACATTTCTCTCCAATTCACTCAACTAAAAGCAGTGTTCTACATGTACGAGATGGTCATATTCTCAATCTTACCTGCTTTAATATTAATCTGGCTTAAAACCTTACTATGTAATGTTCATTATTCGGATTTCATGTCATTAAATTTAAAGACTGAAACTAATTATAATCACTGATATTGGTACATTAAAGGACATTGAGTGATCTTGTAAGATTTCTAAATAATATTCAAGCATACAATTCTTACATCAAATAATAATTTTATATGAAAATATATTGCAGATCGACGCAGATGATGTGAAGAAAATACAACGGAAGCTGATGTTGAAAGAAGTATAGAGTATTTAAAGAAGTTTTTATGAATGGACTTAGATGTGAAAGACTACTTCATTGTGTACCAAGATATATGATTTTATTTATTTTGATATCATTTTCAAATAATGTTTTTGCACATCAAATGAATTATTAAACATATGATTTGATAATGCTTTCTCCTTTTTATACATTTTCTTGATAGATTTTGAAAAGAAAACACAGTTTACCAAGGAAATTAATAATATATATTTTGATTTAAACCTGCTGTTCTCTTTTCACATTCTAGACAAGAAAGATTAACCATGGAAAATACAGGGATCCTTGAGCTTCCAGTTGCTTGTCAATCATTTTTCGAAATTGAAATGCTCAACCTACCCTGTAGTTTCCATGGTATGGAAACTATTACACCACAATTGCACATTGCTTCCCGTCTCAGAAAAATAAGGGAATCTTGAAGTTTCCCTGTAATTTTCTTTTATGAGACACCAGATAATTCCACCAAGTTTCCATCACACGGAAACCACTATGCTCCAATTCCATATAGTTTCCTGAGTCATGGAAACTTGAGGAATCACGAGGTTTCCTCTAGTTTCCGTTCATGGGAAATCTGAGGATTCCATCGAGTTTCCATTCCATGGAAACCACTACGCTCCGATTCCACATAGTTTCCTAATTATGGAAACCAGTGGAATCTTCAGGTTTCCCATTACGGGAAACTACATGGAGGCTCAGGAAACTCCAGGTTTCCTGAGGTTTCCGTGGTTCGGGATACCTTATGGAATCGGAGCGTAGTAGTTTCCGTGGTACGGAAACTTGACGGAATAACCTGGCATCCGCTGCGGAAACCACTAGGAAACATGATGTAAACATGAGGTTTCCATGTGGTTTCCATATAGTTTCCCATGACGGGAAACTGCTTATTTCACCCAGTGTCTTTTTTTAAGCTATCAAATTTTTTGATGTAAAAAGCCTCATTTTGTTAAAGACTTTGTTGACACTAGCAAACGACAACACTAAAGACGTTGCTAAAGATTTTGAGCTTATCACTTTTTGTGCCCCTTATATCGATGGTCAGAGGCATATTGATTTAGATCCCTGTGTTATTTTTTCACAAATGTAATCGTCCCTATATTTTTATGAGAAGTTTAAGACTTTATTCATAGAAAATCAAAGATATTCATGCGATCGAATTTTCCCACGCAAATCTATTTGGGAAGGGTTCCAAAACGTTAACCTTTCATATAACTCCTAAAGAAAAAAAAAAGAAGATTACATTTTTATTTTTGCACATTATTTTCCCAGAATAAAATCAAAGAAGATTACAATTATGGAAGCTACAAATTTTTTTTATTTTTATGTTTCTATTTCTTACACAAGATAAGAAAATGATCTTGATTTTTTATAATAATTACAACTGTGAAAACTTATTTTATTAAATGTGATAAAACAAATCAAAGAATGTACGTACATGTATTTTTGATCTAATAGTGATAGAAAATCATTATAGCCTTGTTAGTTTTTCCTTCAATGGAGATAAAACATCTTGTATTATTAATGTAAAGTATATTATAACCATTTAATTTTGTCATTTAACTTTAAAGCTTTTAGAAATGAACACTTCATATCATAAGGCTGCGTGATTAAACCCCTATGTATTTGCCTAACAAGAATTTTCCTGCCAAAACCAGGCTTTTTTTTGGGGGGGGGGTATCAAAAAATGACACTGGCTCATTATTCTACAGGGTCATTTTTCTACAATCCACATGGAGAAAAATGACCCGAAGGCCATAATTTCAACAAAAAAGTGGGTCATTTTTCTACGTAGAATATTGACCAGGGGGTCAAATTTCTTCGTAGAAAAATGATCCCAGGTCAATATTCTACGGGGGTCTCTTTTCGTCGTTACACCGGCACATGGGTGCAATTTAATATATACTTTTGTCTTTTTTAAAGAAGAAAACTTTTTGTAGCAACATAGCAGACAGTGTCACTGCTGTATATATGGAACGTGTCCATTTAAGATTACTTTTCAAAATTTATCTTCAGCTGTAGGTTCATAAAAATTTACTGATCTGAGTTTCCTTAAAATTTGTTTTCAGTATTTTTTTTTAGATATTAGAAATAACATTTCTCACATCAAAATAATACAGTGTCTATTTCAGAAGGTATTGTTCCAGATGATCTAAAGATTGCAAAAATTAAACCACTTTTTAAGAAGGGTGATAAATTAAGATCTGAAAATTATAGACCTCTTAGCATACTTTGCATTGTTTCCAATTAAAATTCTAGAAAAAGCTGTGCATGTATATACACTAAAGGGGATACAACCTAATGTTTTCCTTTTTTACATATATGTGTAATATTTTGGATTTTTATAACAAATTAATCATATTGCTTAACGATTTCTTTTAAAATGTATGGGTAGTCCCGTCTGAGGCAAGAAAGATAATAATTACAAATGAATTTGGAATGAATTTGAAGAAACAACTGTCAAAGTATTGGGCCAATAATAAGTTATAAAGGCTATGGTGGGATTTTGAGGGCTTTTCCAACACTTATTTCGATTATAAAAAAAAAATACACCCGAAATTATAACACAAGGTATCACTTTACTATTTCACCGAGTACCACCCACTCAAGAGTATTTTCTGTGATATTAATTTATCTACTAATTCATTTTTGTCAGTGTTGCTTTCATTGCCCCCAGTTCAAAGGGGGGGGGGGGGGCATGGACTTTACTTGAGGAACAGATCCAGGATTTTGCATTAGGAACTGGGGTATTATGACCTGGTAGATTAGGGTCAAGGGCGGAGCCCTGGTTGGGGGGGGGCACAGAAAGGGCAAAGTTTCGTTATTTTTTTTCAGTGAACATTCTGTGTTAAAACATCTTACTCCAAATTAATTAACATGTAGGTCAAAAGCTTTACAGAGCTTATGTTTACTGTTTTCAAATATCCGACTTGAAATAAGATTTTCTGAACACCTTCAAATTTTATTTTTTTTTTTTAAAAAATAGCAATTTATACATGTAATTTGTTTTATCAAATTACTAATTCGCTAAATCAAACTAATTCGCTAAATCAAATTATTAATTTGTTTTAACAATTTGATAATTTGTTATAACAGATTACAGTACTTTGTTACATGTTTATCAAATTACTAATTTTTTTAAACAAATTACCAATTTGTTATAAAAAATTGATAATTTGTTTTAATTAAAAACAAATTATTAAAAGACATGGCCGTAGGAACCCGGGGGGGGGGGTCACGGGGGTCATGCCCCCCCAATAATTTTCCGATATATAGAATATTACATGTGTATAGAAAACATAGATACAATATGCTTGTATCCCCTCAATAATAACATCTGATGACTTTTTTTTCTTTTTTCTTCTGCTTGTCAAGGAATTTTTGGTAGTTGATAGTGCCCTCCAACTGAAAATGTATGATATGCCCCCCCCCCCCCTTCAACTGAAATTGTACTTGAAATCGTCTTGTAATACTAGTAGTTGTACAAATTATATAGCAGGGTTCCATAAGTTACTAGATGGATAAAACTAACCATATTTGAAAATATTTTTTACTTCTAGTTTTAAAGATAAATTGCAAAATAAACAAAACACTTAAACACGGGGTGGGGTGGGAGGGGGGGGGGTATGCCTATGACATTTAAAATAGATGAATCATAATTTAATTAGCTCGTTGAATAGCATTTGATGAAATGTCCGTGATAATCTGATAAAACATTTCTATTGCAAGTTTCACTGAAGTTCATAATTAATCACTCATTCACTCAAAACAATTTAAACATATGGTACATGGGGGCAATGTAGAACATTCAGATCAGAGCTACAAGTACACAAAAATACTCCAGTATATCTCTCTTATAATGTATAGTGGGGTATTTTTGTGTGGAACGATTATTTTGGGGTTTTCACGATTTTTTCCTATGGTAAACATGATGAATAAGTGTAATAAATATTTGTGAAAAAAATGTCCAACAAACATCGGGGTTGAATTTTCTCATAGATACGGATAAACTTCACGTTTACAGGCAAGAAAATACAAGAATCGGAAATAGAGAAGAGTGATGTACCCTGCAATTTGACAGGTTGTACACGAAAATTGCATGAGTTTACTTGAAGATTTCGAGTGAAAAAAGTTAGAAAGAATATATAAGGACAGTCTAGAAATTATTTTCTTTAGTGAATCTTTATGATACAAAGGATGTCGGGGATAACTCTTGATTTATAACTAAGTTTTGCAAAACGTGACTCGCATTTCCTCGGTTGCAGATTTAAATCCGTTTGGTTTGTTTGTTATGTATATTTAGCCCTAAAAGCTACCAACAAGTTGTATTTCTCGATTATCTGTCAAAGATGGTCTCTCCATTGAAAGACCCAAATATTGCCAAAAAGCTGGTAGAGGGTCTGCAGGGGGACCTTAGAACTTTATCAGCTGAGGGAAAGAGGAAATATCCCCATGTTAAGGAGGTATGTGCATTGAATAGATGATCGTAGCAACTAGGCCAGGTATTTAGGTCTATTGAACACACTGTTTGAATAAATACTTATGTTAGGCTAGCATTCTAGAGCTCATAGCCACTATGAGCTTGAACATAGCCTTGGCTTCTTGATGATTATGTCTATTTATTGTAACTAATTATAATTTTTTTTACGTATTTTATTCTTTTGTAAAGAAATTATGAGAAGCATGAAAATAAAACATGTTAATTAAAGAGTGAAGAAATAGTGTTTACATAAAATTTTGTGATTTCTGAATGTTTCAGGCATCTGAGCAAATCCAACTGAAGTTACGGACAATATGTACAAAGAGCGAGGATATTATGTCAGGTGAATGCACCATTTGCCATGAACACCTTATGCTGAATTCAATAGATTTATCCTGCCTCCCAAGTAACCTGTCTAATTTTGACAGGTGAAGTGTATGATAGATGATCAGACTACAGCCTTTTTTTTCTACCAGTATTAATTATTAGGTTTGTTACTGACTGTCCACAAAAATATGTCAGGCTATTCGTGAAAGGCTAGGTGAAGCCATGCCTTCCATGGACTTGAGCAACCACCATATTTTTGTGGGCAGTCAGTAACAAGCCCAGTAAGTGTTCTGTTTTGTTGAGGACAAATAACAGAATAACAGTTAACAAACCTACTGTGATGAAAACTGAAGAATTTTCTCATCTGTGCAAAGTTTCACTTGTCGCCATGTCGTTTACTGATTATACCACTGAAAAGGGGCATTACCATAGTTAACCTTCAACATGTAAAAAGAGGGTCATGACCAAAAATTAAAAATCTGATCATAATGTGTAACAACATTCATGATATACATGTATTTGTCATGATTAATTTTTATTTCATAATTATGTTCCCCAAACGAAGTTTGGGAACATATTGTTTTTACTCTGTTTCTTATTATTATTATTATTATTATTATTATTCTTTTTTTCTACTTTCTTCTCCGGTACTTTTTTGTCCGGTAGTGTTCTCATAGAACCACTCATCCGATTGACATGAAACCTTTTTAGGGTAAATAGGCATGTTGTGTAGGTGTTCGGAACGAAGGTCATTTTGCGCGCACATGCATGCACGTGCGCGCGCGTGCAATGAGTGAAATGACTGATATACTTGATGAAGCCGTAACTTTTATATTTCTTGATGAATTGCTTTGAAACTCAAAATATAAAGATATATTAGTAGTCTAGACAAGATGACATGGTCAAATTAGCGTGAACTCACGCACATGCACGTGCGCTCTTCTCTGATTGGCTGATACAAAAATCTCAATAATTTCCTTGTTTTTTGGCAAAATACTTTGAAATTTAGAATATAAGTATATATTATAAGGTGCTACAACAGGTAATATAGGAAATTTCTTGAAAACATGTGCATGCAGGTGTGCTGCAATCTGATTGGTTGAGACTTTAAATGTCTATAACTCCCTTGGTTTTCAACAAAACAGGATGAAATTTATGACATGGATAGGCACATAGAACTCCTACATTATGATACTATCAAAATTGAATGCAAGGCCATGCATGCACGTATGCTGAATTCTGATTGGCTAATACTTAAATGGTCACATCTCTCTTATTTATCAATGAAATTCTTTAATATTTAAAACAAATGTATGTATTGTGAAACACTATAAGAAAATAAATGTGAAAAATGTAGAAAACATGTGCAAGCACATGCACTGAAATTTGATTGGCTAATACCCATATGGCTATATCGGAGTAGTTTTCCAATAAAATACCCTTAAAAATAAAGTGTCCATCTATATTACAAAAGTATTGTCTAATTTATTGAAGCTTGTAGGGAATGGGGCATCATAAGGGATTGGGGAGCCGTTTGGGGAACATCTGTAACGGTTCCCGTTACAATTAGCACTAGTTTCATATTGTATTTATATATATAATAAGCAATTGTGTATTGAGTATTTAATTATTTTATTGAAAAAAGCTTTGTAACTTGATTACAAAATTCAATTTTCCATTAATGAAATTCATTGATTGAATTTAGATGATAAAAGGGCATTTTAGGTTTTTGTTTAGTATTGACCTGAATTAAGTGTGTATTTGAAAAAAAAAAAAGGAATCCCTTTCAGAATCTGCATTACTGTTTCTTTTTGTTGATATTGTTCCTGCTAGCCCTGATAACAGTCTCATTCTATCATGTCATTTTACAATGACTTCCTTCAGTTTGTCGAAACAACTCCAAGATAATTTTTAAACCTGTGCTGATAATTTACCTGTTCATACTGTACATAGCCATCAGCATTGTTTTATGTAGATCCAAGCTTGGGTTAATCACTGGAAAATACATGTGCAAACTTATTTACAAACCATTCCAAAAATTGGGAGATTTTCAGGTTCAGGCAAAATCAGGTGAAAAGATGACCGTCGTGTTATAAAAAATAATTGAGTAATGGGTCTAAAAATCAGATGTAACCCGACGAAATTGGGTGAGTTTGCAAATTATGGGTGCCAATCTAAATTTAATCTCAACATTACCAAAAATTAGTAAGGATGTAATGAATTTATCGTTTTTTTTTAAAAAGCAAAAATAGCTCTAGCATGATTTTTTCTTTAAATTGGGATGGCATAACGTTGGTTTGTCCACCATGTAACCGTCTAAATCCGTAATTGATTGTATATTTATATTTGCAGATGTTTTCCTTTATATAATCTTAAGTATTAGAATACTGTTTGTACAATGTATGTTTATAATAAACCTGAAAAAAAAACAGGTTCGTCATATGACAAAAATCCATTATTAAAACATTAACGAAAGGTGTAAATTCACAGTTATGTCATAAGTGGTAGAACTGTTCAAGACATTTAGTTCAATGTTGAGGTTTGAAAAACTAAATCATTTCATGGATTTAGACTATCATACACAAATATTTGTTAATTAATTATTTAATGGAAGTTAATTTCTAAGACATCATTGAAATGTATCTGTAATTCTTCATTGTTTAATATTTTTTCTCGATAAAATAATAAAAAAAAAGTTATGAAAATAACACAGACTTGCTTTAAAATTGACATAAATTTTATGATTTGGGGGCATTAAGCCTTAATAAGGTCAATTTGTTAAACAGGGCAACCCAAACGGTTCTGAGAAAAACGGTATTGACCTATCATCCAAGAATTACAGTACATGTATATATAAAATGGGGATCTCTTAGACTTGGGGTTATCTCTGTAAAATTACCTGTACTGATTAGACCACCCCAACATATCAGACAAAAAACTGTCTCAAACTCTAACATTGCATTTATATATAGCCCATATTGATTTCTTTTGTACAATATACAATGATCATCCAATTTGGGAAGTAATTTACTTGATGATTGATATGTAATAAAAGTTCTGTGTAATGTACAACAGGTTTAGTGCCAGCCAGTGCAGAAATCATCCAACCATTTGTGATGGGATGTGACACAAAGAATCCTAAGATTGTACAACTTTGTCTGACAGCGGTCCAGAAGCTGGTAGCACACGAAGCTGTTTCTGTGGTAAGACTCTATAATAGCTGAGCATTTAAACTACTGTAGATGTACTTTTTTTTGTATGTGGGATTAATTTACACTATGGGCGGTTGCATATTTTCTACAGAAATTTGTCACAGCATACTTAAATTGCACTTAATCGAGGAATACAAAGGCAATCCATAAATCATGTAAATTTTGTGTAGTTTTCTACAGGAATTGTGATTCCGTGAAAATTTGACCCCATGGAAAAAAGAAATATGTTTACACTGTAATAAAATACTGTAAACTTTAAAATATTATTGCACATAGCATACAAATCTAAGAACAATGGAAAAAAAATATTTTACAGTTGTGTTTTAAAAGGCTCTTGTGTAATAAAATTTCCATTCTGGTGAGTAATTAATTTGTTAGTTGTGTAACTGATTGTTATCTTTGACAGACTGCTGCGGACAATATAATCGGCATGTTATGGAATCTCATGGAATCCGGACTAGAGGAACTAAAACTTCTACAGACAGCCATTATTCTGATCACCACCAACTCTGTTGTACAGCATGACTCGCTAGCCAAGGTAAAGCCTTTATACATACTGCATGTGTAATTAAAAAAGTGGTCTTCAAATTTTAGCAGCTTTGGTGTAGACAATCATGCGCTAATTCATGAATACTGCCAAGAAATCATTTATAAATACAATATACGGCACTGACATTATAACGCTAATTTGTGGTTTTGCCAACAACTCCATACCCAGTGATTGCGCTAAATTTTGAATATGCCAATTTACAGAGCTCCAGATAAGGTGCGTATTTGCAAAAATATGCATTGAATTTTTCAAAATACGCATTAGAAATTAAAACTGGGCGTACAATTACGCATTAGACATCATAAATAAGCATTACACTACGAAAGTACTGCGTAAGACTGATTGAATGATACAAGTACAATTTAACTAATTAGGTGAATTGAGGTCAGCTCAATGTTTGAATTTTTATCAAAAGGAAATTCTGATTTATAAACAAATAACCTGGGCCGATTTCCAGTTCTGAAGAAAGATTTGAATATTAAATACTCGTATTTTGTCTGAAAATATCACAGATTTCCACTGTTCATATAACATCAAAATTTTGGTTCTTGACACGTACATGTACACGTCGATATTCTCAAAATTCCGCAAAACACGCATGGGGTCTAGTTTATCCTTTATCACTGTTTATTAAACAGTTATTTACCATTTTCTGTAGCAATAATATCATTTAAAGTCCGCCGACAATCTTTTTTTGCACATGGCTCCTTTGCTATAAATAGCGCCACGCGACTTTTAATGCAAACGGGGAGTAAATCTAAAACTTTTACCTCGATCGATGCCAACAATTTACATGTATATACCAAAACCTAAGATATATTTCATTAACCTAATTAATAAATTTCAACAACACTTATTTCGATAACAAACAAAAAATTGCATTAGATGTCAAAATAGCAATAGATTAACAGAATACTTTTTGATTATTTTGCTGAAAAGCAAAATCTGCATTGATTTGAAAATCAGGGAGTAAATACACTTTGAGGTAAAAAATTATCTGGAGCTCTGAATTTATGTACACATACTGTATATTGTCACCATTACTGAACATCTTTAAGCATGCCTGAAGGATAAATAATACAAAATATGTTTGACAAGTCTTTCACTTAAATTATGCAGTAAAACATGCGTATAATGAACATATGTATGAAGAATTCACACTTACAGCCAAGTGATTTTAATTCCCTGAGGTTTTAAAATGTGAAATTCACAGATATAACAAATTATGAAGCAAAGTTGTTTGTCCCTGGCACTTTGCTTAAAATGTGTTTTTACTGTAGCACAATGTCAATGATTAGCAAGGAATTCAGGATGACTAGTTCCATGTTTCTAAAAAATATATAGCCTATGAAAAAAAATTTCAAAAATATTCCTGGCTGCAGATTCTGTTCTTGTAGACATAATGAAGAAATCTGTGCATGTTCACCTCTGATATGGCAACGAAAAGGAAACAACTCTTGCTAAATTCCCATTATTCGAAAATTATCTTTTAATCTTTGTTTAATAGCAATATTAAATGGCAAGAGATTATTTAACATTATTCTTAATCTTATTTCAAAAATGATAAAAGGATCCAGTGATATGATCTTTGCAAGGTTTGGTTTTGATTTGTATTTCTTTCATAGGCTTTGGTATTGTGTTTTCGTCTTCACTTCACAAAAGACAGCACAACTATCAATACAGCTGCAGCCACCATCAAACATCTAGTCAGCTGTGTGTTTGAACGAGTAGTGACAGAAGATAAGGTCCCAATTCAAGGTCTGACAAGTGCTTTTAGTTTTAAATCAACAATACATGTACATTGTATGTGGCATTTTTGTAGATATTTATAAACGTATTCAGAATTACAAAATTCTGTAATTCAAGTAAAATACAAGTCAGTGTTAATTAAATAAGAAAAGATGAATTGTTGCGAGTGTGACTAAAATGTTCTCAGAATTGATTGTATTTTGTTCAAGTTTTTGATTTATATACAGGACAGACGAGTGCAGTGAATCTAGAGGAGTTGAAAACCCACAGCAAAACCCCGCCACACTCACTGAGACCATGTGCTGGAGATGCTTACCTACTATTTCAGGTTAGTAAAATACCCCCCCCCCCCCCACTCACTGTCACAATGCACTGAAGACCCTTGTTAGTTTCAGACAAGAAAGTAAATTAAACACAGCCTCACTTGTGTTTTGTTTCTGGTGATAAATGTGCTCAAGGCTCCAGAATTGTGAAACAGATTTAGACTTAAGTCAAAATTTCAAAAAAACTTTGAAAATGAGTATTCACATTGATCTGAATCTCAAAATTTGCAGATAACAGTGCCTTGCATTAGGTGGTGAAATCTTGAATAACATTATTTCTTCACTGTTTGACTACTACACCCTGTCAGCACACTGTACAGGTTTTGAGTTGTTGGAAATGTTTCATGATTCTGGAGTCAGGTCTGTTTACTTGTGTTTTTGCTTTTAACTCCCAGTATACAATTATTTTTTTCTCTAAAACCGGGTTGTCCAGGACACCACACTGATGAACCTGTGACCTTTGTTAAAAAGCAATATGTGTATATGTTTGTTTGCATTAGAATTTCAAAGTACTAGATATAAAACTGATGTTGTCTTTACAGGATCTTTGTCAGTTGGTCAATGCTAATTAGTTGTTATTTTTACAGGATCTTTGTCAGTTGGTCAATGCTAATTAGTTGTTATTTTTACAGGATCTTTTTCAGTTGGTCAATGCTAATGGGTTGCTATTTTTACAGGACCTTTGTCAGTTGGTCAATGCTAATGTGTTGTTATTTTTACAGGACCTTTGTCAGTTGGTCAATGCTGATGGGTTGCTATTTTTACAGGACCTTTGTCAGTTGGTCAGTGCTGATGGGTGTTATTTTTACAGGACCTTTGTCAGTAGGTCAATGCTGATGGGTTGTTATTTTTACAGAACCTTTGTCAGTTGGTCAGTGCTGATGGGTTGTTATTTTTACAGGACCTTTGTCAGTTGGTCAATGCTGATGGGTTGTTATTTTTACAGGACCCTTGTCAGTTGGTCAATGCTAATGAGTTGTTATTTTTACAGGATCTTTGTCAGTTGTTCAATGCTGATGGGTTGTTATTTTTACAGGACCTTTGTCAGTTGGTCAATGCTGATGGATTGTTATTTTAACAGGACCTTTGTCAGTTGGTCAATGCTGATGGGTTGTAATTTTTACAGGACCTTTGTCAGTTGGTCAGTGCTGATGGGTTGTTATTTTTACAGGAACTTTGTCAGTTGGTCAATGCTAATGAGTTGTTATTTTTACAGGATCTTTGTCAGTTGGTCAATGTTAATGAGTTATTTTTACAGGACCTTTGTCAGTTGGTCAATGCTGATGGGTTGTTATTTTTACAGGACCTTTGTCAGTTGGTCAATACTGATGTGTTGTTATTTTTACAGGATCTTTGTCAGTTGGTCAATGTTAATGAGTTATTTTTACATGACCTTTGTCAGTTGGTCAATGCTAATGAGTTATTATTTTTACAGGACCTTTGTCAGTTGGTCAATACTGATGTGTTGTTATTTTTACAGGATCTTTGTCAGTTGGTCAATGTTAATGAGTTATTTTTACATGACCTTTGTCAGTTGGTCAATGCTAATGAGTTATTATTTTTACAGGACCTTTGTCAGTTGGTCAATACTGATGTGTTGTTATTTTTACAGGACCTTTGTCAGTTGGTCAATGCTGATGGGTTGCTATTTTTACAGGACCTTTGTCAGTTGGTCAATACTGATGAGTTGTTATTTTTACAGGACCTTTGTCAGTTGGTCAATACTAATGAGTTGTTATTTTTTTCAGGACCTTTGTCAGTTGGTCAATGCTGACCAGCCGTTTTGGTTGATGGGGATGACCGAGATGACTAGGACGTTTGGACTTGAACTCCTGGAGGCTGTTCTCACCTCATTCCCTCAGATATTTTTACAAGTAATTACACAGAATACTTACATGATATTCTTTCTCAAATATTCCTGGGAAATAATGTAACAATGAGATGTTGTTTAAGCACTGTAATTTTAGGAACCACTATGTTGAATAGATTAAGAATGCAATAAAAAATTTGGAAGTAATATGAAAAAAATGCAGATTTATGTATGTCACCAGTTCAGCTGAGATAAATATTGAAAATATCTTTTTTGTAGCACCAGGAGTTTAGCTTTCAGTTGAAAGAGAAGGTGTGCCCTCTTGTCATCAAGTTGTTCTCCCCCAGTCTGAAGTATCGCCAGGGGATGCCCCCACCCCCCTCCCCAGCCCCGGTAGAAAGACCATTTTTTCCTATCGTTATGAGGCTACTCAGAATTGTGTGTGCACTTATCAAACACTACTATTGTATATTGGTAAGTAAATATTATATTATGTTATAAGTGCTGAAAGGAAAACAGATTTTAAAATGTTTGTTATTTTTGTTTAAATTCATTTCACACTTCTGGTATATTTACTGTTCAGACTGAATTTTGAGAGATTAAAGACAAAACAATGTTTTGTAAAACGTTTTTACTTATATTATAATACTGTATACAATAAAACATGTTAACAGCAAACATGCTTGCAATGATATCTTTGTGAAGTGATTTTCATTCCCGTAGTTTTAAAACGTATTATGATATATAACAGATATAATGAATTACGTTTATAATAAATCAAAATTGTTCATCCTTGGCACCTCGCTAAAAGCATGTTATACTGTGTGTACAGGCTGTATATTTTATCTTTAGGTCACAGAGTGTGAGATTTTTCTGTCCTTGTTGGTCAAGTTCTTGGATTCAGAGAAACCAAACTGGCAGAGATGTTTGGCTCTAGAAGTGCTTCATAAACTTAGTGTGCAGCCAGAATTACTGAGGTGAGAGAAAAACCAAAGAGAGATAGAGAGGGAGGGAGGGAAAGAGAGATGTTAGCGCAATGTACAGCCAGAATTACTAAGGTGAGAGATAAACCAGAGAGATAGAGAGGGACGGAAAGAGAGATGTTAGCTCAATGTACAGCCAGAATTACTAAGGTAAGAGATAAATCAGAGAGATAGAGAGGGAAGGAGAGATGTTAGCTCAATGTATAGCCAGAATTACTGAGGTGGGGGATGTACAAGATGGAGATAGAGAGGGAGGGAGGGAAGGAACAAACGAGAGAGATGTGTTTATCAGTCAGAATTACTGTGGGGGATGTACAAGAGAGAGAGTGATAATGTATAAACTTAGTGTGCAGCAAGAACTGCTATGGTAAAGGAAAAGAGAGAAATGTATAAATTTGCTGTCCAGTGTGATTTTTATGTTCATAAAAACAGAACCAAGCAGAGAAAGAAAGAGACAGTAGATTAAAGAAAGGAAATATGTTGTAAAAGCTATGGATTGAGGGGTGTTCATATTTCTTGATATGAAAACTTGTTTCCATGATACTAGTAATTTTTTATTTACATATAGATCTTTCACCCAAAGCTATGACATGAAACTTCACTCCACCAAGATTTTCCGTGACATAGTAAATGGGGTGGGAACGTACATACAGTCCCAGTTTATGAACCCCTCCTCAGGCTCCACCACATCAGGTAAGTTACATTGTATTTCACAGAGGTGTCACCTGAAATTTGTAAAGATAAGGTACTGACAAATATTTTAAATTATCAAAAATGAACTTCATAAAATGATTAAAAGGTAATTCAATTTTTATGCCAATTATTTTCATGACTGGAGGCATTTGTTAGTTATCTTTTATTTTTTTGTACCCACCAAATTCTATAAACTAATAAAGGTATTTTAGCTTTGAAAAAGCATGATAAAATAATAGCACAGAGACAGTCAATTATTATTGAAATCTTACTTTGCATTACTAGCTTGTGTGTTTATAAGGCCAACATTTTTTTATTTTCTGTTCTACGGGAATTTTTTTCAAAAATTTGAGTCAGAGGGTCGAAATAAAAATAAAAATAAAAGCTCGAAATTTAAGCAATCGGTCACAAAAATAAAAATAAAACGAAAAAATGCAATAAAAATTTTTATTTTTAATCAAGGACAGAATTTTTTTTGTATGTGTTAGGAAAACGTTATTTGAAAAACTTATTTATACAAAACACAGAATTGGAACTGTTAATGTATCAATGAACTATTTTTGATTTAACTTTCTCTTAGATATTGGGGACAGGGGCTGCATTTCCAGTATTAGCAGCTTGCAGTTTCTAACATTGATGCAAATCAAACATACAAATCTATAGTCTTCTCCCAGTTGTCAAATATCATTGTGTCACCACAGTAAACCTATAGGACTTATGTCACACCCCTCATAAACTTTTCAGAATCTTTTATTTTTCGGTATTCAGCAAATTACAAGATCTGAGGATTTTGGACTAGCTCTGGCAAAATTATGGCGAATATACAGTGAGACATTCAATGGATCAGCTAAAATAAATTAATTCACAGAAGTGCACACGAGACATGATAAAAAGAAAGGTTGTACATGTATAATATTTTTTTCAGCGCAATTCCGATTTATATATATGTAGGTGGAAAAAACGTACCGCAGTATCTCTGTTGAAAACGTATTCAAACTTCCTCATTCTGTAGTATATTTGATCTCTTTTTATCCTTATATTTTTCTTTCTGAGCATGCTAACTTTCAACATAATTTGTAGAAAATACACATCTTTCCCATAGTATACACATGTAAAATACACATGTCTGACAATATTCTGTTTACTGCAGAATTCAAAAATTTAATTGTTGAAACTGGTTCTAATCCACAAGTTTTGAATGAAAAAGCAAAGAAACCTGGCCCCAAGACCATAAACTGAGAACAGACTTAAGTCAAAATTTCAAATCCAAATAACTTTGAAAATAATTTTGATAACAGAACAAAATTTTTATCAAATATTTATACTGGAATATTGTACTAACTTGCAAAATTTTAAGTATGTATGTTAAATAAAACTCAAGATATTCAAAATCAAAATTTTGACTTAAGTCTGTTCTCAGTTTATGGTCTCAAGGCCAGGTCTTGAATTTAAATAATATTTGTAAGGGCGTATCATTTACAACAATACTTTTCCCTAGTGATAAAAAAAGTTGTTTTACTAAACAAGAGATCCACGTGAAATTCCATAAAATGATAAAAAAGGAAATAAAGTCTTGTATCAATCAAGCATATATTTTCATAGGTAATTCTGAATTCCAATATTTGTCATAAAACGAGTAAAAGTTGTGACTCGAATTTCCTCAGTCATGCCACTTTCTACCAGTTCTACAGTGTTCTATTCTGTCGTTACTTGTAAAAGAAAACATTATTGTCTTAAAATTATGTTTAAAAAATCTTCAAGACGTATTTCAATGTATTGAAGCAACTGTCAAAGATAATACGTACTCAAAACCTTTCAAAACAAGCGGTTGACAGAACTTCGATTTCCATGTGGCCCCTCCGCATGACATTTGATCAAGATTACTGTTTCCAGTATTTCATTCAATCTTTCATTAAAAGTTAATCTGAAATTTATACTTTTTAGCTCACCTGAGCCAAAGGCTCAAGTGGGCTTTTCTGATTGAAATTTGTCCATTGTCTGTCGTCATAGTCGTTGTCGTAGTCGTCGTTGTCGTAAGCTTTTCACATTTTCATCTTCTTCTCAAGAACCACTGGGCCAATTTCAACCAAACTTGCCACAAAGTATCCTTGGGTAAAGGGAAATCAAGTTTTTTTCAAATGAAGGGCCACGCCTTCTTCCAAGGGGAGATAATTATGAATTCATGAAAAATTAATGGCATCATTTAAAAATCTTCTTCTCAAAAACCACTGTGCTTGAAAATATGAAACTTATATGGAAGCATCCTCAGGTAGTGTAGATTCAAATTTTTTCTAATCATGACCCCCGGGGGTAGGGTGGGGCCACAATGGGGGATCAAAGTTTTACATAGGAATACATAGGAAAAATCTTTAAAAATCTTCTCCTCAAGAACAGCAAAGCCATGATGGGTCATATTTATATGGAAGCATCCTCAGGTAGTATAGATTCAAGTTTGTTCAAATCATGACCCCCGGGGGTAGGGTGGGGCCACAATGGTTGATAGTTTTACATAAGAAAACATAGGAAAAATCTTTAAAAATCTTCTTCTCAAGAACAGCAAAGGCATGATGGGTCATATTTATATGGAAGAATCCTCAGGTAGTGTAGATTCAAGTTTGTTCAAATCATGACCCCCAAGGGTAGGGTGGAGCCACAATGGGTGATCAAAGTTTTACATAGGAATATATAGGGAACATCTTTAAAAAGCTTCTTTTCAAGAACAGCAAAGCCATTAGTCATATTTAAATGGAAGCATCATCAGGTAATGTAGATTCAAATTTGTACAAATCATGATCCCCTGGAGAATAGAGGGGCCATAACAGGGGATCATACAAAGGAATATAAAGGATATATCAATCAAAATTTTCTTCTTAAGAACAGCAAAGCCATTATTTGTCATATTAATATTAATTCAAAAGCATTCCTATGAAGTTTAGATTCAAGTTAGTTGAATAACCCCCCCCCCCCCCATCCCCGAACCAGTTTTATATTTAAACTTTTCAAGACTGAACTGATTTCTGCTTTTTCCTAGCCAGAGTGCTTAGGTGAGCGATGTGGCCCATGGGCCACTTGTTCTAATACATGACATTGACACATCACTTTTTAAAATGATTTTAAAATATCTGAAACCATCCGATTCTGACATTTTGGTGCTATGCTCTGCAGTGACTATTCTAGTTAGAATAATCTAACTGTGTCTCGGGCAAGCCCTCACCACACGGGTCCGTAGGACAATATCATTTTAACAATAGAACATTCTATCTATGACTATTCATGCTTCGAATACTGTGATTGGATGAATATATTTACCTCAGCCAATGACAAATCTCATTTTGAAAGGCTTGTGAAAAGTTTATTTATATTCTTTTATTTTTTCAGTGACTATAAATAAACTATCGGCGGGAAAAATAAAAATAAAACTTGAATTAGGGACTTTTATTTTTATTTCATTTTCAGGGTTAGCTCAAATTAGGGTCGGCGCTCCCGTAAAACAGGATATAAAAAAAAGTTGGCCTAATTGGAACTTTTTTCATGCAAGTTTTATATTTTATGCACATTCTTAGGTAACAAAACCCCTGACACCCATGGTACCCCTCCTGCCCTGGTAGGGGGATTACCTGTGGGAGGGGGAGTCACCCCACAGGCTGCCTTCATGTACAGAGGGGTCTGGATCCCTATTGTATTCACAGTACCAGCAGGACAGGCGCGACCCACATAGTGAGTACAGATCTACAACAACTATCACATGTTGTGACAGATTTTATTTAGAAGTATCTCGTCTACTCTTTGAAATTCATTTATAGAGCTATTTCATGTGTGTGTATTAAATTATCAATTGTAGAGGAATGTCACCTTTTTTATCAGTATATATTAAGTTCAATATGTAGAGAAATGTCAATTTTTTTATCAGTATATAAGTTTTTACATCCTATTTTCAACAGTTTAGAGATGTTAGACAAAGTGGAGCCTCCACCAATCGCCGATGGATACGGATTATCTCTGGCTTTCTATTGTCTATTGGAGGTTGTCAAGAGTGTTCGAATTCTAGTTCATGGAGAACCAGAAAATGAGAACCAGACAATGACAAGCAGGATCAGAAAGGACATTTCAGGTGATTGATGTTGCTTAGTCATTTATCTGCCTTATGATAAGTCATGAGTTACATGTACATCATGTTATTAACTAGAACCTTATTTTCACATTTAGACAATCTCACAAATTGCTAGAAATAATTTTTTTGAAAAATGATATACAGTACAATTCGTTTATTATCATAGTTTATTTGTCAGGCCAAAACTTTATAATAAGCGACTTTTATAATAACCATAGTCGGCTGAAATTCATGTCTGACGGCTGACGATACGACGTTTGTGTAAATTATTGGATGTATTATACATCTTACGTTACATATAATTTCGATTTTTTTAGGTTTATTTGAAATACAAGTTAACTGACATATCATTTCACAATATTTACTTACTGTTTCAACTTTTTATTATAAATAAATTCACTTAAATAAAGCTTAATACTCTTCAAACTCAATCTTCCAGATCCCTTGGCATCCATCTTGTTTATTTTGATCTACTTTCATTTTCAATTTATGGTCAATTCAAATTACCAATGTTTCGTTTCGTTGTTTTTTTTTTTTTTGATCACATATTAAATAAATTAACACAGCAACAAAGCATGCATTCAAATTGTTTCTTTTATTCATCCAAAGTAGACATAAAAAAATTACCTGTTTACACTTAATGTCGCTGTATAATTAAAATTAATTGATACACTGATAAGCATTCAAAGCCGCTTGGACAGACTGGTGAAAGAGTTAATTTCACTTAATTATTTCTTAATTAATCGGGTAGTTTTGTAAATGTAATTAACTATGAACATTGATCCAGATATTAATATTGACACTAAATTTAGTTTCAACATTTGGTAAAACGTATTTATTACGAATGTACAATTCAGGATTAACATAAGAAGAAAATAAGTTATGAAAAAAAGAGTTCGAGTTATCCTGTCATGTACTTCATGAAATAAACAGACTCCCTGTCAATCACTCAGGTAAGTGCACTGAAGTGTGACTAATCTCCCCAGTCTTTCACTATCGGCAAATTTCAAAGTGAAAATCAAGCCATTGTGTATAGACAAGCGACAGTGCATGAACCACAGGTGTAGATAGGTGTTATCTTTTGTTTTGTTGATTGTCCCAAGAGTGAAAAGGTGTGAAAAAAATATTACGGACGGAAATTTTCTATTATAGTAAGCGAAGTGTATACTTTTACCTATGATAATAACAGACGAAATTTATAATGAATTATTAAGAAATGGTTTTGTGTTTCAGATATCTATGATAAAAAAAGAAGTATGATATTAAACCGGTATGATAAAAAACGAATTGTACTGTACTTGTTCATGTCATCTGATGTCTCAGAAATATCTTATCTTGCTAGATATATGTAAATGTCATAATGAATGTAAAATTCTCAGCTAATAAGAGTGTAGAACATTACCGGTATTTATTCCTTACAGTTGAGGAGCGAGGACTGGATGAGGAGCTGATTAATTCCTCATGGTGTGGATTACTGGCAGCCCTCGCCCTCCTTCTGGATGCCAGGTACAGATAATATAAACTTATCAAAGGGGCATAGTTATATAAAAAGATGAATCATTGTTTAAGGGTGCATAAGTGCCTCCATTGATGGCAATGTCAATAAAGAATTTCGTCTCCTTTTATGGTGAAAATTCATTTAAAACATCTGAACAGAAGTTAAAATATTTTATCTTTTATTTGACAATCGTGTCAGATAATTGTAACTTTGGTACAAGATCAGGTGTTATTTTTAGTGAGTACATGTATAATTCAAGTACTGTAATGAATATGATGTATATTACTATCTCTGTTTCTGTCACCAGCACTGATGAGAGTGCCACAGAGTCCGTACTGAAGTCCATGAAGATGTTTGCCGAGTTGTGTGGGGAGCTGGAAATGGCAACCCCCAGAGATGCCTTCATCACGGCTCTATGTAAAGCCTCCCTCCCCCCACATTATACCCTCACAATACTTAATTCTACATCAGCACCCCAGAGCCCTGGCTCTTATACAAAGGGTTGGTAATCTAGATAATTCAAAAATGTATTTATTAATTGTTATGAAATTTACTTGGAAGTCTCCAAAAAGATAATTTTTTTAAAGGAAAGATTGTCATATTCAGTTTAAGAAAAAAAAAAAAATTCCAAATTCACCCCTTCTTGGAGATTTGCAAATCAAAAAACTCATTTTTTCTTTTTTAGCCAATCACACAAGAAACTCTAGTCAAGATTTAGCTTCCCTAGCAACAGAGTCTGAGCAACGAAGCCAAGTGGTTGCCGTAGGAACACCACTTCCCACAGCATCACTTCCTGTTGGGGCTCATCAGGGGCCAGTCATGGTGAGCAGCAATTAAGATATTTTTCTTTAAAACTTGATGTAGAATATTTTGTAAGCATGAGCAGAAAAATGACTGGCATTATGTTCGATTATTGGAGAGTAACAAGCAGATTAAATACTTAGAAAGGAGTTTTTGTTCAAATTGAGATGATTTTCATGTTCTTGTTTTAATATTTACAGCTTACAGCCAAGAATATACAGTGTATGAGGTCACTTTTATCTGTGGCCCACTGTAATGGGGGAGTTTTGGGGACTGCATGGCATCTGGTGTTAACTACATTACAAGTAGGTGGATCATGGATTTTTTTCAAATATGACTGAAATTTTTTGAAGTCTATCTGAATTATACCGGTACTTAACAGATTGACTATCTTAAAAGTAAAGATTCCAAGAAAAACAAAGCAAAGATTCAGATCATTTTATCTGATTTTCAGCACTTAGTTTGGATTTTGGGTTTAAAACCATCTTCAGGAGGAAGCTTGAAAGCTAGTCAACAGATATCAGACAGTTCAAACACAGTGATAACCACAGCTGTGATGGCAGATCTGCCTGTCCTGGCATCCATGTTATCTAGACTCTTTGAGAGCTCACAGTATGCCCTATTAAATCATAGACTATTCTCTCTGATGTTAATTCTACATGACTGTATTATTTCTTTAATAGAAACAGTTTGGTTTTCAGTACACTGTTATTAAAGCCAAAATTAAAGCAACAGAATTTAGAGTCTTGAAACTTAAAGCATGAACTTTTATATTTTGCTCTCCTCTCATTTGAAAATCGAAATTGAGGTTTGAATGCACCATATCTAGGTAAATGACATCAGTGTTTGAGATACAGAAATTAAACTGTATGTTATTTGACAGTGGTATAATTTTTTAAACATCACTTCTACCCAAATATTGTAATCATTGTAATTGTAATACTCTTTGCAGGGAAATTTTTGCCCTCTTTTTATTCTCGCCCTACTCACAGGTGGGCGAATTTACAACGAAACTATTTCAAAGAACACATTATAATTTCTTAAACAGAATTGTGACTAGGCGAATTTAAATTGTGGCAAAATTAGTTGCAAGTGTGAATGGGCGAAAATAACACAGGGCAAAAATAACCCTGTATGCAGTAGTCGTACATGTACAAATATTATAATTTGTAGGTATTTAGATGACGTTGCCCTTCACCATTTGATTGATGCCTTGTGTAAACTGAGCAGCGAGTCTATGGAGCTGGCATACACTAACCGAGTAAGTCTGTCTGTTTGTTTGTAATTATACAATTATAACTTACTGACATACTCTTATCTATCTAACAAACATGTTTACTTGATACATGTATTCATTTTATTACTGTATTTATCTAAACCTATTTAACCTATATTATCTAACAAAAAATTCAAGCTTTTGTGATTTTAAAACCTTAAGGGCAGACATTAAAATCTTTGGATTTTAAATCTGTTATTCCTTTAATTCCTTTATTTGATTTATTTAATTTGATTAGTGACTGTGTTTCTATCTGATTTGGTGCAATATTCATTTTGCCTCAAAGTTTCTCTAAACTAGACAGGATAGAGTTATTTATACTTGTAGTTAGTAACATCTTCATGTATTAAAGATAAGTCATGAGAATGGCTTAGCTGTAATTTATTGAAAAGTTGCTGTTTTGAATCCTCCACATGGCATCTTTTTTCCCCACAAGTTTACTTTAGGCAGGCATGTTGTCTCCCTTGCCCAGATGTCAGGTTGTGGGGGAAAGGGGTCAGGGGGTCATTGGCTTTCATCATTTGTATAACTTCACAGAAGCCAGATCAGAAAAATTATTACTCACATATTTTTTTGGCAAAATTATAATGCAAAATCAAGTTTGTAGACAGAGCATGTTTCTCTCTCTGCATCAGTAATTTGGTTTAATATATCAACAGTAGCTGTATTTCAAACATTGTAATATGGTTTTCATCTTCTGATTTGACGTACAAAGAAATCAAGATAAGATGCCTGCAGTATCTAGAGGTCATGAAATTGAAACTGGCCTTGACCTTTGTCCTTGAGCTTGGAAATTGTCATGTTTTGCTTTGCTGTTGGTGACTGCTATGATTTTTGTCTCATTTTGTCAGTAGATTTAACCGTGATGAGAAATACTTCATAATCTGTCCATACATACATGTATCTAATTGATTTCTTAATTGGTTCAATTAAAACTGGGTTCACTTATTTTAACTTATGAAAGATACATGCACATATCTCCATTTGAATTTTAATAAATGGTGTTCTAACAGTTGCTACAAATACACAAAGGTTAAAATGTTTTTTTCCTTACAGTTCTGAGTAGCAGAACAAAACTAGGAAATGCTACAAGTATGGGTGTCAAATTTTCCCTTTTGATTATATTTCAAGTCTTAAACAGTTGAACTATTGTCTTGTCAAGGACTTCTGTTTGTGTATTAATGTCTAAGGAAATGTAAAATCTTTTATCTCCTTGAAATATTACAGGATATCATTGGTAAAAAAAAGTCCTTAATTAGCTGTATGTGTTTCCACAACTGGGAATGATGAATTTATTGAATTTTAAAATTTATGTAGTTGTATCGATGTACTGTTTGTAGAAACAAAGTAAGGTAATGTTTTATAAATATGTAGGATAAAACTGAGAGTATCAATAATATGGAGTCTAGTTGCAGCTGCTTTTATGAGGAGGAGTTGTCTATCTTAGAATGAATGGCAAGTGATAAATAAATTTTCCGGTTTGATTTGAAATTGAGTGATGGTAGCTAATTGTTGTGATGTGTTTTGCTTGGTTTGGGGGGAATATTTAACATTCCTAGGAGGAGAATGGATATGCCAGATCTAAAGAAAACCTCACCTCCAGGTCATAGAGATAAAAACAGGCTTGTTTTCGTTTTTAGTTACTCCTAGAATTCTTGTGATTGATTGTGTCACTTGAGAGGTAATTTGTTCAATGTGAAACCTTTGATCTGCTATAATTAAGACCAGCTTAAGCAAGAGAAAGGGATGGTGGAAGAACACATGAATCACTTAAAACTGGTGGAGCAAGTTCAGCCTGTCCTTAATGGTTCACTTTAAACTTTCATGAAATTTAGTCACTTATTTCATTCAAACCCAGGGTTGTTTATAAGACCCGGAGGCCAGGGAATTTCCTGCTTATGATGATATGAACCCTGGTTATTCTGGTATTCCCCCTGATCCCCCACTAGGGGAGGAACCACTTATATAATGTCTCCTTCTATTTTAATTCTTATGGACCACCCTGCAAACCTCTAATTTCTTTCATTGTTATTAATTTGGATTTTTTTTTTCTCATTTTTTTAATGGGGGGGGGGGGGGGGGAAGGGGGTAAAATTAATTTTATCTGAAAAAAATTTTGATAGAGAGTTAATTGTTTAGGTATCTCCTACAAATATAACATTTGTATGTTCATGAAAGAAAAAAAACCAAAATACAACTTTTCTAAATTTAATTCCTTGGAACTTGGAAACTCTTGTCTGCAATGTTTTTTCCTTGCCAAGGCAGTATAACATCATGCAGAAGCCCGTGAGACATAATTATACGTTTTTGTCTCGATACTAAAGCTCCTAATGATTGGATTCTTCAAAAATTATGCATGCCATAATAATTTTATGACACATCACCAGTATTAAAATCCAAAAAAAAAAAGAGCAAAACAATTACGTTGAGGTACATACGCAAGAGCCATATTTTTGGACCACATGAAAAGATTTCTCTTGTAAAGGGGGATTTTAACTGGAGGCTACCAGACAATTGTTTGAAGCTGTTTAATTAGACATTTTAATGATAAGACAAGGGAAGATCATTGTTTATTTGAAATATGAAGTACGCTTTTTGTCTCCCACTTCTGAAACACTTAAGGGATGGAGTTGATCCTGGGGTATGAATAGATTGGCCTCTTGTTGATGAAGTTTTGTTTGAATGTGATCATAAATCCTCTCTTCAGAAACCTTGAAAACAGATGTGAACTTGGTAAAAAAGTCAAAAGCTTGGTGTACCTAGGGGAAAAAAACCTCTCAAGTATGATATTAGTGTGGTATGAAAACTTATGTAAAAGAATAAATGATTGATCAATGTATTTTTAGATTTTATTGTAGCAGTTGTTGGTTTTTTTTTTATATATGTATATGAAGTTTTGAAACTGTTTCTGAAATGTTCATTTCTAAATCTGTACTAGCAGTCATACAGAGTCAACTTAAAATTTGCAAAATTGAAGAACTGCTTGTGCATACTTACTGATTCATATTGAACATTTGCAATAGGTTCTTTTATGTGAGTTGTATAAGACATTAATTGAAGATAATCACCATCTATTGTAAAATTAGAATTGTAAATTTATTTTTCACCACAAGAGAGACTGTCATTGCTGATGACTAGACAAGTTTTCCTACTGATCACAGAGTATAGATATAAACATCAACAGCAGGTACATTAATTGATCGAGATGAAATTGCCTGCAGTGACAAACATGACAAATGCATGTAAAATGAAAGACAAAGAAAGATCTGAGAATGCTGGCAGAAAATTGCAATTTAGTTATGGGAGAAAATGCAATCCCGACTGGTAGATTTTTACAAAATTCAATTAATTTCCCCAATCTTATCACAAATTCAGTCAGTGCACACAGATAATTCTCAAGTGTTCGAAAATAGTTTAGGAGAAAAGATGATGAAAATAGATTTTCAGTAGATATGTCCTCTTAGCGTAGACACCCAAGGTCAAGGTCAGGAAGTTTCCTGGCAGTTTGTATAAGAAGATGGATAAAGAATTGTATCAGGCTTATTATCAGACATCCTTGGTGCTAATGAAATTGCTGTCACTTTCACAAATGTCTTATCATTATTGGAGACAGCATAGTTAATTTATATAAATATTTGAATGTGCAATCCTCTAACAGACTTTGGCAGCTGAAGGTTACTGAAAGACTGATCATCAATTTCTTCTTTAAGAATTATTGTTTTCCTCTGTAATTAGTGATAGTGTAGCAATGTTTATGTATCACTTTACGAAATGTTTATGTTCCTAAACACAGTATACATTGGCTGCCAAGAGAGAAAGATTTATCCATTGTGATACTATCAGTGTTGGAAATCTAGAATAAAAATACATAATTAATGGATTAATTCCTGTTTAAGCAGTTTAGTTCTTTGATTAGTTTGCTTAATTAAAATAGAACCAATGTGTGTATAACTTTTTTTTTTTAGGTCACCTGAGTCACTGTTTATGTTGTTGCTTGCTGCCTCCATTGGGCATGAAGGGGAGGGGATGGGGGGTGGGGTAGCTATAAATTAAACCATCAAAATTAAAGGACTTATCGCATGATCTTTCAAAAATCGTAATTTTATGAAAAATATTATCTACAACCTTGTTTATTAAAATACTGAAAAAAATAAATGTTATTGAAAGCATATTTTAAGAGATATTGAGAGTTGAAATTCAAATAAGGCAATATGCATATTTCAGTCGGATTTCGGCGAAATACTGCTCTGACGTCATATGCGACAATTCAGTGATAGAGAGATGAGAATATGTAAACTATTTACGGAGTTATCAACGACAAATGCAGCTTAATTACGAAAAATGCTGAAAAAATGAATTCCTAGCGTGCTTTTTAATTACTATAGAAACATTAACAAGTTCTAAGGTATAAGACTTTTGAGATATTTTCGTTTTTTATTCAGAACATTCAGAATCTATACAGCTCCGATTACGGCAATGTTTCGTGATCGGAAAATTATTTTTCAAGACTGCTATCCTTTACAAAACTTAAGTAAATTAATGTTATGCTAAAAACGAAGAATAAAAAAGTTATACAATATTAAGTTTGTAAATCAATTAAGTTAATACATGTGATAAGATGACAAATCAAATTGTATTGTGATGGCGTGTTTCTTCGTATTCGCTGCATCTCCTTCGATATCGTCGCTGCTATTTTTACAATGTTAACAGATTTTTCAGATTTTTTCTTGCTTACAGTTCTAAAATATAAGGTTGGATATTCAATTTCATATCGATAAAATCAGTGATGTGGTCGTCCATAATGCAGAATATTCATGTTGTATCGTGAATATTTCAGTAAGATTGACTATAGAGCTGATCAGCCATTGTCGCCTTTGATGTCACAGGGTCACATGATCGCTATCTAATTAACTTAGATTTTTTAATTCAGGGATTTTCATTTGAGTCAATAATTGGTTAATTACCGCGGTTTATCTGCAGCAAAA